GGTATATATAACTTTTCTTGATAATCATCATTTTTTACCCTTAATTTTAATTGAAGGGTGGGTAAACTACCACAGGTTCTAGTTTAATACACGACCCACCACAGAAAAATAGAAATAATACAGGAGAGCGTATCAAAAAAAAGAAATTCCCGAGTTAAGAGCCCCAACTCATCTACTTGAACTATTGAATAGGACTATCAGATTGGAAACAGCTCTGGGAGTTTCCATAAAATGCGCCAAGAAGCGAGTCTTGCTTTGTGCCTAATGACACATTAGAACTGGACTGTGGTAGAAAGCAATGATTACATTGATAGATTGCAATGAAGAAGGAAGATATAAAAAAAGAGAAAGTAAAGTGTAATCTAATTTTAATCATAATTGGGAGTATCATACTGAAATTGATATATAATTAATTGTAACGTCAATAAAATAGACTTACCAATATCTGTTATGTAAGGAGAGGGGTAGATTCAACTTTTCCTGTAATTTCCTGAAATTAGATCAAGATTAAAATTAAAATGAGAGTGTGAAAAGGGTTGAATGAGTGTCTCTACTAATATAATATATTCGTCTTCAGAAGAACTAGAAATGTACGAAAATCGCATCATTCCATCAAAAATACCTCAAATTACAAGTTCTGTGTGTATATATGTCATTTCTATATATAACAGTCTCAGGACTTTTGAACACAGGAAATTCTGGACGCTTGGATTTGAAAGCTCAAGTTCAGACAATGAGCTGTGAACACTACTTCGATTAGATCAACTAAAATAAACGATTTCTGATACTAAGGTTGGATTGATCAAACGGATGGTGAACCTAAAATAACCCTCAAGAGGAAGCCTCCATAAAAAAGAGTCAGTCTACAGAAACAAAAGAAAAGAAATTAACTATCCCAACAAAATTAAAATTTACATTAATGAAGCCTAAAAACACGTCAATTGTATAAATCCAGACCCTGGATTTTTAATTTTCAATAATCATTCAGATAACGAAATTATCAATCCTGTATATTATGGCAAGATCGACTGTCTGTCTTGTTATTTAAAGGGGATATGCAACTCTTTTAATTTAAATTACTGCTTCCGTAGAAGCCTCCATAAATTGCAACTGCCGACTATTAAGTCGTCAGTGCGGGGTATTGGGTATAGTTTTCAACTAGCAATAACCACGCCTCGGAAATTCCTCATTGGCTATGGTACCGCCACTGCGCAAAGCTAATGAAACTTGCGCATTGAGGTCGTGTCAAATTATTCTTTAATTGATTTGCCCTGGTTTAGTTTTGTCATTTAGCTCAGTTCATCATGAGTTATCTCCCTGTTTTAAGGTTAATAAAAGAATGAAATGACATACACTAGTGTGAAATAAATCAAGATGGCGGACGAGTAACAACAACATATATTCATATTAGTGTTCTTATTTAATTAATATTCTATCTACTTCTAAATGTCATTTAAAGATTATATAGACTATTATTTCTATAAAATTTATCTAGATATTGAACATTATTTAATCTAATGATTGGCAATACCAATTACTAATTAATTGTATAACTGATTTAAAAAATACATTTATTGTTCATATATATATAACCAATCAAATTACTCAAAGTCTCGTGATGAAATATAACACGAGTGGGTCTTGGTGCCGTTTAATAAAGAACCTGTGTGTTAAGGCGAAAGTTAGATCGACTTACTCTGTGTCTCTATTAATCACAAGGAGATATGCAAATATTTTATTTTGAATTACTGCTTCTACAGCCTCCATAAAAAAGAGTCAGTCTACAGAAACAAAAGAAAAGAAATTAACTATCCCAACAAAATTAAAATTTACATTAATGAAGCCTAAAAACACGTCAATTGTATAAATCCAGACCCTGGATTTTTAATTTTCAATAATCATTCAGATTACGAAAATATCAATCCTGTGTATTATGGCAAGATCGACTGTCTGTCTTGTTATTTAAAGGGGATATGCAACTCTTTTAATTTAAATTACTGCTTCCGTAGAAGAAGTTTTCTATTAAGTCGTCAGTGCGGGGTATTGGGTATAGTTTTCAACTAGCAATAACCACGCCTCGGAAATTCCTCATTGGCTATGGTACCGCCACTGCGCAAAGCTACCAATTACTAATTAATTGTATAACTGATTTAAAACATACATTTATTGTTCATATATATATAACCAATCAAATTACCCCAAGTCTCGTGATGAAATATAACACGAGTGGGTCATGGTGCCGTTTAATAAAGAACCTGTGTGTTAAAACGAAAGTTAGGATCGACTTACTCTGTGTCTCTTCTCTACTAACCACAAGAGGATATGTAAATCTTTTAATTTAAATTACTGCTTCCGTAGAAGCCTCCATAAATTGCAACTGCCGACTATTAAGTCGTCAGTGCGGGGTATTGGGTATAGTTTTCAACTAGCAATAACCACGCCTCGGAAATTCCTCATTGGCTATGGTACCGCCACTGCGCAAAGCTAATGAAAGTTGCGCATTGAGGTTGCGTCAAATTGTTCTTTAATTGATTTGCCCTGGTTTAGTTTTGTCATTTGGCTAAGTCTATCACGAGTTATCTCCCTGTTTTAATGTTAATAAAAGTATGAAATGACATAAACTTGTGTGCAATAAGTCAAGATGGCGGACGAGTAACAACAATCAATATTCATAGCAAAATGGTTTTTTTAGGTTCCGTTATAATATTTCTATATTCAAAGCATATATAGAATATTAATTCTGTGAAATTTATCTAGAATATTGAACATTATAACTAAATTTATAATATCAGAATATATAGAATATTAAATAAATAAAAACACTATTATAGATATACTACTTCTTTCTTCAATTTTTGCAACGTTTCAATTCACATACAGGAATCTTTATCAAGCACAAATATCGGGTGGCCCAGCTAAAAGTTTTTTTTGAGCCACCCGATATTATAATGATAGACAAAAACAGAACAACAAGTATATATAGTAAGAGGTGACATGTTTAACCCCCTTAGATTAGTGTTAAGAGTGAAGAAGTTCCTAAAAACGTCTATGTAAAGCACTGGCCAAGGTCACAAATAAAGAGATAAATGTTCAATACAAGATAAGGTGAAGTTAGCATAGTTAGTATTAAGTTCAAAAAAAAAAAAAAAAAA